AATCAAAACGGGTAAATCATCAGAAATGAATAACACTAATAATTTCAGCATGTGTATCCATCAGCATTGTAGCACACAGTAATATTTGTTTTCTTTTTACAAACATCCATGGGTAAAATTGACACCAATCCCTAGAGAAACTGACAAAAATTGTAAGTTTCAGCAGGGTTCTACAGAGTTACTGCTGCCCTGGTTGTGGGGAAGCTGTCAGATTCATGGCAGTAGAGGGAAAACCAGTACCACTACTGGGAAAAACCACTACTGGGAAAAACCCAGTACCACTGGGGCTGGAGTGGGTTACCTGCCTTTCCAAAAAAAGCGCCCCCGCACACATGGGACCTAGGCAATGCATAGCTATGGCTGGGACTAGGTAATATTATTTATCTTAACTTGTTTAATCCTGTTGCCTTGGTCCATTCAAAGTGGCTTCCAAAATGTGTATCATAACACGAAGCTATATTAAAACCTTCAACAACATATTATATTAAAACCAACACAAAATTATTAAAACATATAAGTTAAAATATAGGGGCATATATCTCTTAAAGTGGACATTAATTTTTTTTTTACAAAACCTGAAAATAAATCAGTAACAGCAATTGACTTAAACCAGCACAAGGAAAATGTAAATAGCCTAGAGGAACGCATATCAGGAGGAAGGAATAATGCAAAACAAAATTAAACTAAAAGCAAGCGTTCAGACTAACAGAAAAGTCACTAGGTGAATCTCAAGTGGGAGAGAGTTCAACAGATGATGTAAACTAATTTGTAATAAATACATGTATTTTTATAATTTGTAATATTTATGTTGTATATTTACTGATTTTAACATTGGGGCCCCTAATTTGTATCCATTTAACCTTTCAGGTTCTTAAACTGAACTTTCAGCCAGTCCTTTCTTCACTTTCAGAAATGGGTTGTTTGGAGGGGAAAGATACTGCTGAAGGGGAAAAAAGAGAAGCAGCAAGTGTACTTTCCAGAAAACAATTTTTAAAAAGAACTGTAGAAACGTTCTATATCTTATGCCCATTCTAGAAGCTGGAATTGTATAAGGTAATAAGGGTCAGTTAAGAATTAAAACAATTAAAATCATAGCACAACTAAAATGAATGATAGCATCACTATGATTATAACATGGCCACAAGCCCCTCAATTCCTTATGCTCCCACTCATGTCCTCATTTTCAGTAGGGGTTCTCTGGAAAGTAGATGCAAAGATTAGGCACCAAGTAGGTGGCAGGTACAAGCTAGTTATGTTTCGAATTTTCAGGAAAACTGCAGGAAGACCTCTATACGCCTTTTCCATCAGAAGCAGGTACAGTAAATAGATCATTTTCCCTAGTTGGTGTGTTCTTCTTTTAAATTAATGTAGCAGTTTCAGTCTGTTTGAAATGGAGATTGAATGGGCCTCTGATAGTTTTTTGATATCTTGAACAAGAACCCAGGAGCTTTTGTTCTCCATTTTGACTTCCTCAGTAAAGATCCAAGTATAAAATCCAGGCAGGAGTACAGGGAACAGCATGTGGAAGTGGCCACACTAGGTGGGACTGAGTACAGCAAAGGAGATGAAACATGGGGTACACAGCACAGCGGAACAGTTCAAGATCTGATTACTGAACACAAGTTGGGAGACTATCGCAGCTAATGATAGAAGAGCAGGAGAATGGGGAAGCATTTAATGTTCCTAGGCTTGAGAAAAAGAGGGAAATTTATGTGAAGTCAGAGGCAAGCCTTCTGATTGGGTAGTGGTGTGGCAACAGGTTTCCTGAGCCTAACTACTCCCAATAAGAGAAAAGGGAGGAAGGCTTGGGGCATAAAGAACGTACGTTAGAGGTAGTCTTGGTTCCATAACCTGGAGTTAAGGCAAAAGGTACAAATAAAACATAGAACTTCATTGGGCCGATGTCATTGGGATGTCTTTTGTTAGGAAGGAATGTGGAAGGACAACAGTACAGTCTGCTTAGAAGCATCTTGACTGAACTGAATTTTTTTGAATAAAGATCTGAGAGGTTTTAATGCCTTCATGGCAATAATGCAACCAGGCTGAACATCTCCACTCCTACCAGCTTTTCTGATGACTCCACTCATATTATTCCATAAATGCAATCATGGGGGCTCCTAAGCAGGCCTCGGTTCCTGCCGGAGCGCACCAGAGAACCGCTCCGCCAGTCAGGAGCCCAGGGGCGGGCACATAAGCCCCGCCCCCTGCTCCCACCAGCCATCAGTTGGGACACGGTGTGTGTGTGGGGAAATGTTCCCCACCTCCCTGAGGATGGTGGCCTTGGACTCGTAGGGGCAAATTCCACCTCTCGTGTGAGAGGTCATTCTGGCTCCCCCAGCTGTCCTTAGGGGCTCCTTAAAAAGTTACGGCTGCTGCCGCTGTTCTCGGTGACAGCTGTGACGCCTGTGCAGGGGGAGGAGCAGGGCGAAACGTTCCCTTGCCTCCCTGAGCCCCGGGGTGGTGGCCTTGGACTCGTAGGGGCAAATTCTACCTCTCGTGTGTGAGATCATTCTGGCTCCCCCAGCTCTCTGGAGGGGCTCTTTAAAAAGTTATGGCCGCCGCCGGTCTCAGCGGCTGCGAGGCCCACGCACGCGGGGGAGGGGTGGGCCGACACATTCCCTTGCCTCCCTGAGCCCCGGGGTGGTGGCCTTGGACTCGTAGGGGCAAATTCCACCTCTTGCGTGTGATGTCCGAGCGGCGTCTGGCTCCCCCAGTAACTTTTTTCCCACCATAGAGAACAATGGAGGGGATGGGGGCAACCTGTTTGGGGGCCCATAGAATTGGACCCCCTGATTCAATGTTCCTGAAACATGGCGGGTATCTTGGGGAGAGGCTCCAGCAGCTACCCTGGGATTTTGGAGCCTCTCCCTCAAACCCCCTCTCCTCCAGCCCCCAGAATATACTCTATGTTTTCACCATTGACTTCAATGACCCATAGGATATAATGGGGCCAAACTGCGGGAAGCCGATTCAGATCAGAGAACCTGATTTGGCCCGCAGCAGGGGATCCTGAGGAAACCAACGGAAGGGAAGGTGGTTTAAACCGCCTCTCCTTCCCTCCAGCAGCCGGCTTGCTTGGGGCTGCCGGAGCAAACCAAGCGAAGGGAAGGTGGTGGAGCAGCTGGAGACATTGAGCCTCAGCTCCACAAGTAATGAGCACTCGAGCCCCGCCCCCAGCAGCCCTCAGGCTGGAGCAGTCTTGGGAGGTGGATTGGCAAAAAGCAAAACCAAAAGCGCAGGAACTCGAGAGAACTCCAGGAATGGAGCCGGTTCCTCTTCCACAGCCCAAAATACGACCCACAAACCCTGAGCTTGCCTTTTCTCATTTGCAAGTCTGGCCTCCGCACTCCTTTAACGAGGCAGCTCTGAAGCTTGGGGCGGCGGGAGTTTCTTTGCACGCAGCTTGTGTGGCTGGCTGAGTGCCTCTTCTGCTTGCCCACCTCTCGCCTCTGTACCTCATCTTCTGCCAGGCATGGAGGAGCCCAGCTCTCCCAGGCTTCTTGCCTCCTGCTGCCTTGGCCCTCTGGTGCACCGGTAAGTCCCCAAAGTTTGACTCTTCCTCTACAAGTCTCTGGCACTGGAGGTATTCACCTCCTTCCCTCCTGCCTGCTATGGCTGCATAATTGTGAGAGATTTCTTAACATAGTGTTCCTGCCAGGGAAGCTGGGGAACCTGCCCATGAGTCTCCATTTATCCAGTGTGGGGTGTGTGTGGGGCAATGGAAGCTGAGTGATAGGGTCTCTCCAAGTGATTGCCAGAAGTGAGATGCGTCCTGGTCTTGTGTCTTACAGATAATCTTACAAATAGTCCTTTGCATTTATATCATGCTTTCAACTTTAAAAGGATCATAATGCTGATTGTGTGAACTTAGGCAAATCATGAGAGGTAGAGCAGGAAGGATTGCATCAGTGCTATTTATATCATGCTTTCAACTTTAAAAGGATCATAATGCTGATTGTGTGAACTTAGGCAAATCATGAGAGGTAGAGCAGGAAGGATTGCATCAGTGCTTAGTTCTTGTGGCCCTTTCTTACACGCCCAGGGAAATGCTGATCGTCACTTTGGGGCCAGGAAGCAATTTTTCTCCAGGCCAGTTTGGCCCCCAGTGATCCTGGACGTTTTTTTAAATCATATTCTGGTCATGGAACAGGGGTCACTGGGGTGTGGGGGGGGGAATTGGTGAATTTCCTGCATTGTGCAGGGGTTGGACTAGATGACCCTGGAGGTCCCTTCCCACTCTATGAGTCTATGATTCTATAATTCACCCAGGCTGCCTGTGGGCACGCCAGCACCTCTATCAGGCAGAAGCGCCTGAGATCCTCCCCTCCCCTTTTCCTTCACCCGACTTGGAGGCGAAGGGAAGGGAAAGGGGGGAAAGAATGGATCCCAGGTGCTTCTGCCTGTCAGAGGGGCTGGTGCACACTTCCGGAGATGTCAGGGGGTGTGGCATATGCTAATAAGTTATGCTAATGAGCTCCTGCAACTCTTTTTCTACAAAATGACCCCTGCTCCTAAGCAAAGTGCTATGACTGCAGAAATCTCTATATTCATTTGCAGTGGTGTCTGGCATGTACTATAGTTCATCTTTATCATGGATGCAGCTGTGCCCAATTAGGGGGCATGCACAAGCTTGATTCCTTTTGTTGTTGTTCAGTCGCACAGTCGAGTCCGACTCTTCACGACCCCATGGACCAGATCACGCCAAGCCTTCCGGTCTTCTGCTGTCCTCTGAAGTTTGCTCAACTTCATGTTCATTGCATTTATGACACTGATTCCTTTAGCGGGAAGATATTCAGTGAGTCCAGGAAAATATAAGCCACCCCTGAGTGTTGAGTGTAGATTAGGAAAGCTGCAAAGTAAAAAATGCATATCTTTTCAGTAATGTTGCCACAACCTATCTATAAATCTGCTGTTAGCAATATGGCACCATTTTCCTTTTGCCTCTTTTTCTCATCTGCTGTGACTTTTTAGATAAAACGTATTCACCTCAGTCTTGAGCTTTAAGAGACGACACAAGTCCTCCACCAACTCTTCTTGCCACCTGATGGCTGCTTCAAGCCTGAGGAAGAAGTTGTCAGAGGGATGTTCTGAAGAACTTCGTGCAGTGTGAACATGCTGAAGGAGATTTGTTCATAGGGGGACCGTACCCCATTCTCATACAGGCAGGCAAAGGCTATGGCTGGGATCCCAGTTATTGAGAACTCTGAGTAGGGCAGTTCGATGTAGGCCAGGTCTGAGTAGGCACTGGGGCCTTCATAAATGACCCAAGGCTCAGTCCAGGTGTCAGCTTCCCTGGGAAATGTGCTGAGGTAAATCCCCAGGTTAACTCGGGACCTGGAGCTTGTTGGATGGGAATAGATAACCCAAGTTGGGATTTGGAAATTAAAATCTGATTCAGAAATAGTGTCTGTATGATGTTGCTCGTATTCTGTATGTACGGTGCCTGAGGAGATGAGACCAAGGAAATTGCTGTGGTGGCCACTAGATGTTTTGGATAATGCAAGGCTTTCCAGCTGGTGGTACAGAGATCGGCTGCAGAGAGAAGTCCAAGGTCCAGCAGCAGGAGCAAATTGGTTTATTTTCTGTATACTTGGCTGTGTCAAGAGGTCTGAGCTTTTAACAGGCCATGTTTCTCCCTGAACCATTTGGAGGTTGTGATGCAGATAGTAAAGAGGAGCTTGGAACCCAATGATGCTGCCATGGCAACCATGAGGGGGCTCCACAAGCCTTTGCACCAGCTGCCCTGATTGAAACACTGCTCCGTCATCCATGCTAAGTGCCTGCACCCGGAAGCCTAGGGGACTCCGGGCATTACAGTACAACACATTGCTCCCGTCCTCCTCATCCACAGACACCATCTGACACTCAACAGTCTGCAGGTTTGGGATGAATTCACCAAAGTCCCAGCTCTGCCCATGGTCATCACTGTAGAAGGTGAAAGCATGTGGGGTTGTTTTGCAGAGTTTCCCGAAGCATTCTTTGCAGTCAATGTGGTAAGCGTAGGCTGGCAGCAGTAAACGGCCGGACTTGAGCTGAATGCCATGTCCAGGCCCTAGTGCAAAAGTGGCCCAATCTGTATCAAAATGAAAACAGTTGCATCAGGATCAGTCTCTTATCTGAGGGCTCCCTGCTCTTCCCATGCCCTACATTAGCTTCTACATTTCCTACCTTCAATGGTCCTGCCAATAACTTGTTGGGTGAGATCAGTCACATGGCTCCAGCTGATGCCCTGGTCTGAACTAGACACATAGCAGAGGCGTGCAGCATTTTGGCCTGTGATGATCTGAAAGGCTTCAGGGGTCCTGCCCAGCACAGCAATGAAAAACAGGAAAATCACACCGGTGAGCTCATCATAGATGGGGCAAGGATTCATGGACCGATGGTGTGGCAGAGTTGCAGTTTCAAGAGCCCGCATATCTTCCCACTGGTAAATATAGATAATGAAAGAGCTTAGCAGATATCACTCACGTTCTTATTCAGTTTTCTGTTTGGGGTTTTTTTTTACACAATCATTTATCTTAAAACAATAACTCTGTTTGTATGATCAAGGAATGAATCTAAAGCAAGGAAAAGAGCCACAAGATAATCAAGGTATTTTGCTATAACCGAGGAAACATAAGAGAACGTAAGAACATAAGAGAAGCCAATGTTGGATCAGGCCAATGGCCCATCCAGTCCAACACTCTGCCACACAGTGGCCAAAAATACCAGGTGCCATCAGAAGGTCCAGCAGTGTCCATTAATACCATGGTGTGCAGAAGCAGATGTCAAGAGGAACACATACTTTTCAGTGACACTTGTAAAACTAAAAAGGGGCCCTTCACACACGCTGTTGTCTGAGTCGTGTCAGTTGGGACCAAACCCTCACGCCCCAGGCCACTTCATTTTGTGACTCATTTTCCTGATCACATGCAAAAGCATGAACAGTGTTCCTGCTGCCAAATATTTTGCTCTGTGAGTAAAGATATGAGAGAGAGCAAGGCTTTGACTAGGTAACCAGAGGTTACAACAGCATCACTGTAAGGGAGTTCATTATTATTATCCTCATATTATAGACTGGTGGAAGGGGCAACTGAGGATGAGAGAATAGCATCTTGCCAGAGTTAATGGCACAGGAGAGAATTCAAAGTAGGGACTTCCCAGTTCACTGCTCAGCCCCACACCCACTACAGAAGAGTGTCTATGCAGAAGTGGAAAAGGGAGGTTAAAGAATGGAATAATAAGCGGAGCTCCAGTTGAATCACCTGTACTGATGGACTGTGAACAGCTGATTCACATGTGTGTATGTCACTAGATCTCTGATATCTTGATTACTTATTGATTGATGGTTAGCAATGGCATATGCAAACTATATCCACTGATACTCACTTGACCTGTTGTCCAGAAAGCTTTGCCTGTATCGTGTTGGGTTTGTTGTGGCTGTTTCACACATGTCAGCCATCCTCTGATATGCACAGTGCCAACTCTGTGAATCTGTCCAAAAATGTATTACATGACATTTAATGGGCCTAATGTCTGAGTCCTGCCTAGATGAAATAATTGCAGACTCTGCATAGGGCAAGCAGGAAGACAATACTCTCTCTTTCCTGCAATTCCATCCATACTAAGCAATTGTATAGCAATTAGGGATGGTACACAGGCGCAGTCTAAGGTAGAGGATTCACAATACCAGGTGCTCCAGGACTGTTGTTTTCAAGTTCAGCAACCAGTCCGCCTATTAAGATCTGTCTCTCAAGACCTGTTCTCTGTGCCCCTACCTTCAGAGGTAAGACGAGTGCTGACTAGAAAGAGGACATTCTCTGTAGTGGCACCTCATCTTTGGAAGGCCCTCGCACTTGAGGCTTGTCTGTTGCCTACTTTATTTCCTTTTAGGTGCTAGGCCAAAACATATCTTTTTTAACCCAGGCTTTTAGTTGGGGGGGGAGGTGTTATCCTATCAGCTTTTTAATGGTCTTTGCTATATGTACAGTTTTATGCTGCATATGTATAGTAGTTTGCTTTTTTAATGGCTTGTTTTTGTACTGTGCTTTCTAAATCTGTAAGCTCCCATGAACAGGACTCTAAAGAGGCAGTGTAGATAACCAAGGCCAGGGCTTTCTCGGTGGCGGCTCCTACCTGGTGGAACGAGCTCCCGGTGGAGATCAGGGCCCTGCGGGACCTAGTGCAGTTCCGCAGGGCCTGTAAGACGGAGCTCTTCCGCCAGGCTTTCGAGTAGGAGCCGCCGTCGCCGCCACTATACCATCATTGTGGCGGACTTACCACTTACCTGGCCTTGGATGGGGGTAAAATGTTGCCTGAGGAGGAACATCATCCCGGCGCTCCGGCATTTATTCCATCGGCCGCCAATGAGAGTCATCGACCATCTTGGATTTTAAAATGAACTTTAAATGAACCTTATCATGTACTGTAGAGCACCATTTTAGCTTGTATTTATTGAAGTTTTAATGTATTTTATGTTTTGTTTCGGCTTGGCCGCTGTTAGCCGCCCTGGGCCATATGGGTAGGGCGGGATATAAATCCCAAGAATAAATAAATAAATAAAATAAATATATTCTTAATAATAAATAGATTATAGGGGCAACAGCTAAAGAATGAGTAAAAGGTGGTGCAGAGACTGATACGATGTTGAGAATCGTTCCCCTTTTTTTGCTTTCCAATGGCCCCACCCCATTGCTTTAGCAAAACTGTCTTACCTCCACATAGTTCTTGTAGAAGGTGCCTCTTCTCAGCACCAGCAGGTTGGCATGAGCATCATCAACACTCAGCCTCTCCTCAGCAAAAGCCAGCAGTTTAGCAACGCAGGGGATGTAGAGTAATGCTGGCACTCGGTATGTTACTCCACTTGTCTCCCTCTCAAATAGGACAGTCCGGGCAGGGAAATGGCGAGAGCCCATCACGACTGCAGCTGGGAAAGAAAATGTTAGGGGGAAGCCACAGTGCAGCCTCCATGGGTTAAAGAATAATTCCTTCAAGAAGCTGAAATTCTGTAACCAGACCGTAAACCAAATTTTCAGCAGCAGGCCAGTTTCACTGGTGTAAGCCCAAGACTTTGGGGGCAAATGTATAAGCACAGCATCAGGGGGGAAAGTGAGGCAGAGCAACTGGGAACAGCTAACAAAATTAAAATTTTGGAAACTGAGTTCAAGAAATCTAGAAAAATTTCAGGGAAAGGCAAAGACTCCAAAAGTGTTGACAATTCTGAAAAAGGCAGCAAAATGGATAGAAAGTGAACCTGTCAAGAAATATGGTCGTATTACAGTAATCTCATTAAAACATTAGTATAGGACACATGCATCTAATTCTGCTGATTGAACCTTTGCGACATAATATATCTCAGACAAGCTAGTCAGTGAAAATATAGATAACATTCTAGAACAAACCTTTGCCAGAACTCTGGCACCTGAACATGCCAAATTCATGGATTAGGAAATCGTTTTGATACCATAAACAAATAAAAAATAATGAAGGATGGTTACCCAGAAGAATTCTTTAACAAATGCCAAATGCAGTGCTAGGGCTGCTAGGTCCCCCTGGCCACTGGTGAGGGATGGAGGGCCGCCAGTGGTAAGGTTGCCAGATCCAGGTTGGGAAACTCCTGACGATTTGGGGATGGAGCCTGGGGAGGACACAGGGACCTCTGTGGTGTACAGTACTACAGAGATTACCCTCCAAAGCATCCCTTTTCTCCAGGGGAATTGATCTCTGTAGTCTGGAGATGAGCTGTAATTCCAGGGGATCCTCAAGTCCCACTTGAAGGCTGGCATCCCTATGCATCTTTTATAACCCCCTAATCAGTTTGTTGAACTCAGTCTTACAAGTGAGAGTCATTCCAGAAACATGGAAAGAGGGCAGAGTCATATCCTCCAATCTTGCTCCTGAATCAGCATGTAAAAATCTGTAAGTCACTGTTGGCAGCCTGTCTCAAAAGGGATTTGTAACAAAGGGGCAAGCAGCAGGCAGGCTCAGTGGGACGTTACTGTCCCAATCTTCAGGCCTGCTGCACCACAACATACTGCTGGATCTGGCACAACACTAGCACCCACAACAAGTTGATATACTGTAATCATCAGTCTGTTGTACATGACAAAGGAAATGTTAATCCCCTTTAATAGCTCTGGCCAAATCCTCTCAATGGGCCCTGAAGGCTGTAGCCACTAATTGGATTCAGGTGGTGTAGAAAGGGAAGAAGAGACTTAACCCTTCAATTTCCACTCAGTTTTTTCTAATCTGTATCAGAATCCCATAGCTGTTAAAGGGGAAAAGACAGGTTTTGAAAGGACACATCTTCCCCTCCCTTTAGAATGGCTAATAGCATCAGGGGTCCTCACTACAATCCCATGAAACACTGAGATAGACTGACTGGCCCGTAGTCACATAGCAAGCTTCCAGAGTGGAGTGGGGATTCAAACCTGGTTCTCCCAGACCCTAATTCAGTGGTCTGGCTCATTTAAAGGACTGTCTCCTGAGAGGAGCCTGTGTTGCAACTCTGGCCTTCCTAGGAGTTTCTTCTCTGTGCCCCACCCAAAGGAATTAAGGATGTCTCATCGTGGATGAGGTCCTTTTGGGCCAGAAAGCCTCCCTTCATGGCAAATTTTATGGGGCAGTGTGAAACAGTTCTATTTAGGAGGGGCTTTGAGAGAGGTTAATTGATGTTACTATTCAGTAACAGTGGTTATTCAGGTTGATATTGTGGCTATAATTTTTTTTTCTGTATTAATTGTCTTTGTGCTGTGCCTGGGGTTTTGTGTATGTATGTGTGAGGGGGATATTCTGAAGTCAGATGCTTCAAGGCCCTTTGATGGGATGGAATATAAATATTTTAATGAATAAACACGATTTTAAGGTCCTTTTCTTGCTAGCTAGCCAGATATGTTCCACGGGCATTTTCACCCTTGCATGATACTCTGAAGTCTTCATTTGAACGATGGGCAATATCCCATTTACATGTAATAGATTGGGGAGACAGAAATAGCCCTGCTGCAGGGACAAAACCTGCCCTGGCAGAAGGAGAAAGGCAGAAGGGGAAGCACAAAGACTCCAAAGAATGTTTAATTACTTAGCAAAATGTTCACAAAACAGCAGAGCATTGAAGATGGTTGGTTATAGCCTTGCTTCCAAAATAGTAAGATAGATAGATAGGTGCTTGAATCGTACCGCTAGGAGAAAATATTTTTGGTACTGCTAGGGGAAAACAATTTTTAAAGTCTTGGTTAGATGGATGATATGTCTCACAGTGATGGTAGGCAGGAACAGTTTCACTTACAATTAGTTACATGGTGGGGTACAGATGCGTTCCATATTGCAACCACAATAGTAATGAAAGCACTAGTGGGGGGGGGGTTGTCGGGTGGCAAAGATGGGGGGGCAGAATATGAGCAAAGCCCACTGCACGCAGTCCCTTCTGCCTTCTTCCTAGCAGGGAATGTTAGGCTGTTGGGAGCAGAGAAAGTACAGTAAATGGGAATAAAGAAAAAGAGATCAAGACTTCAAGAGTAAAGAAAGCATGAAACTACCAACCTGTTGCTCCTTTCCAGCTGCTCTCTCCTTCCTCTTTGGTTCTCAGAGCCACGGATAGTTACTGACATGAATCTTTGTCCATCTGAATCCTTGTAGCCATTTTTAAATGTGACGTTCCTGGTAGATGCAGTCTCAGCTGCTTCCTTCTCCTCTTCTATGTGCCATGTTCCAGTTCTCAGGCCCCCTCCCCTCCCCTCTACCTCTGACCCACTGGGCTCTCTAGATGTTCCATGATTGGGGGAAAATCCCTGAGCCAGCAGCTCAATCAGCAAAAGGAGGACAAAGGCCTCATTGTCTGAGTGCAGTGAGGACACTGTCAGCAACGTCCATGTGCAGGTACCCATGGCCATCGTTTTCCTCTTTATTTATTCTTAACTAGCTGGGAGAACACAGTCTGTGGGGATCTGTCATGGGACAAGCCTACCAAGATATCAGAACTTATTTAGCTATATATCTCCATAAACAAAACTGAACTCCTAGTGAAGCACCAGCTGTGCTCAAGCATCAAGAGCTCTCCCCTCACTAAGGCTATTACTGTTGCAGAAATCCCACTGGCCTCAATGCTATGTGCCCAGGAACAAATGGAAAGAGGCCAGGCTCAAAAGTCTAGGATGAAAGTGGCAATTCTGGTGGCAACTCCTTCCACAAACACTTCCACTGGATCCAACCAGTGGTTGCATATTGTCTCTTCCTGTTAGAAATTTGAAATGTGTGCAGTGACATTGTTGTAAAATAGTCAAAAGTATTTAAATTACTCAGAGTATCAATGGATCTTGCTTAGGGTTGCCAAATAATTTTCACTCACCGGCGGGGGAGTCCGCGTCCCGTCCGGGAGCAGTCCGCATGTGCGCGCGCGCGCTGCCGCAACGTCACCAGACGATTCCGGCGGGGCGGGAATCGGGGGTTCCGAAGCGGGGGGTTACCCGCCCCCGGGCACATTTGGCAAGCCTAATCTTGCTCTATTGGAAAGAGATTTCTTTGCGTTTAAAAACCTTTATTTCTAAAGGTAAAAGGTACACAGGAAACCTAGAAATAAACAAAACATCTAAGAGCTACATTTTCTAAGCTGCCTATAGTTCAACACATAGTCACACACTAAGAACAGAGATAATGGAGAATCTGTCCTTCTTCTCGACCCCTAGAAAGGAAGTCACCTGGAACAAATAACCAATCACTTATCACAACAGAAGTTACTTTTCCCGGGCTAATCCCCCATTGGCTCTATTGCCAGGTTTCCCTTCCAGGTCAATAGCAATACTAGGTAAACAAGTTAACCCTATAATGACTGGATTGTCAGACCTTGTAAACACAAACATTTCCAACATCCCTTCTACAGATATAACAACAGATCAACTAGCCCAGCACTGTCTGTACCAGGTGTAGGCAACCATTTTGGGGTGAGTGCCAAAAAAGCCATATCTGCCTGTGTCGCTGCAGTGGCTAGAAAGGTTCTCTAGTGGTTGCCAGCACTCTAGTATGGGTCTCCTCGGGAGTGCCCAGAGCACCCACCCTACCCCTTTATGCACTGCTTTTCCATTAGGTTTCCCTTATAAGTGACCAAATGAGGCAGGAGGACCCAGGCAGAGTAACAAACTATTTTTATTAAAGAGATTTAACAATAACTGTGATTCAATAATGTGTACAAAAAATGAGCACAGTAACGGCAGGTAAACTAGCAAAATAAGAAACCCTAACATGTCTGACTATACTGTCCTAGCCTTCCCTAGGCCCCTGGTCTCAGACTGACTCACTCCTTTTGGATGAGGGATCCCTCCTTCTGCAGCAGCTTCACCAGCTCTGCTGCCTGGGAGTGAACCACCTCCCACTCTGGGCAAGGCCTTTTATCAGTTCTTCCCAGACACCACCCTGTACTCCTCTGCCGGTGTAAGTTTTCCCTCTAAACCCCCTGTTAACCAATCACAGGGTCCAGAGAGGACCTTGGAAATGTAGGCCCTGATAGCTACTCTAATACAGGCTTCCCTGGAGCTCCCTAGAGCCTGTAGGCCACACTACTATGGGCCTAGGCTCATGACAGCCTGTGAAGATGCTGGTGTGCCAACAAACAAAATGCAGAGGTGAGGCAATGAAGATTGTACTTGGCAAGATAAACTGGGAGACAGCTGAACACCAGCAGCACTGCCAGCAACCCAAAGGACCTGGTGTGAGGCTGCATTGGTCCAGCAGGTGGTGCAAGGCACAAGCCATGACCATTGCCATTTTCTATGCTGCACTGCCAGTACCTCAGGGGCTTGCTTTGGTTGCTTGGGCAGAGAACTGTCCTAGCCCTGGGTGCTGAACAAGATGGCCAGGCATGCTGCACCCATGCTGAAGGCTACCTGTTCTCAGCAGGTCTCTGGTCTCTTGCGGTCAACTTTTA